TGCACTGAAGCATTTGCATATGGCTATTTCAGCATTAACAATATTTCATGTTTTTTTTTTTTTTATTCTGATTCGTTCCAAATAAGGCTGCAAGCCACTATTAAGTTATGAGTTTATAGAGAAAAAGAATAGAGTTAAAGAGCAAGAAAACAGTTGACAGAAAACTTAAAAAGTTGAAGGTTGTATGAGTCAGGTAAACATGACAATGGGAGAAAGTTGCAAATGATTGATGTGGGGGCAAAAAACTAGACAAATAAATGTGTTTTGGGCATGCAGGCACAGATAAAGTAAAAGAATAAGACTTTGATGATTGATGATTCAAGCATGAATGAGTTTTAGTTGGTGGAAATAGAGATGATAGCTTCTTTGAGCAGTGACCATGGTAGTATTTTTAGAAAAGAGAAAGAGATGCAACTTTACAACAAGAGGAAAAAAAAGAGAAAAGAGGCTCAAGCTTAGCAGATAGACCAGATCCAACTATGTTTGCAATGTGTTTTTGGACCTTGTTTAGAAGAGAAAGAGCATCATTAAAAGAATTAGCCCAAATATGATAACATACAGGGATGAATAAGAAATTTGTAGAGGTGAGAATGAAATAAGAAGAGAGAAAATGGGGAGCATGATAAAGAGAAGCAACCTTAGCAGAAGCTAATTTAGTAATCGATTGTATATATGGTTTCCATGAAAGGAAAGTAGTAAATGATAATCCAAAATAACATAAAGAAGGGGACTCAGTGAAAGGGTTGCCATTTATTAATATAGGAATGTCGATAGAATTGCGATAGTTATTTGCATTAAATAACTGAGTTTTGTTAGAGTTAAAATTTACAAGCCACTGTGAGTCTCAATCTGTTACCGAAGTGAGATCAGATTCAAGATCAGCTGCCTGTTCTAAGCAATCAAAAAGAGAAGAACTTTTGTCAAGACAGCAGAATAAAATTGAGTCATCAGCCAAAAGAGCTACTTTAGATGTAAGGTTGTTGGTATTATCATTAATGTAGATAAGAAACAAAATAGGACCAAGGATAGAACCTTGAGGTACCCCAGAAGTTATTGGAAATAAAGAGTGGCAAGAGTTGGCAAGGATGACTTTAATAAAGAAAAGAAAGAAACAATTTGATAGAGTTAGAAAAAGTTAGAAAGAAACAATTTGATAACCTCAAAAACTTACCTAGATACGATACTTTAATCATATGATTAAAGCTTATGAAAAAGAGCAACATACCAAACTCGAAGTTGAAAGGAGTTGAAAGCCTAAAATATGTCAAGATCAATAACCCTAGCCTCTCCAACTCCGCCTAATGCACAATAAAATCTTTTAGTCACAGCTGTTAGCAAGTCAGCTGTAGAGTGAGAGGATTGAAAACCGCATTGACAGCAAGATTATTTGACTCAAGATGGGATGTGAGAAATTTGTTTATCAAAGAAAAGAGTCACAAAATTAACTATTTGAGTAAAAGATTGAGAAATGCAGAATTTATAGGCTTTAGTGCCTGCAGGATCAGTGACATTAGAATCAGTGCCATTCAGTGTGATAAGCATTAAAATCATCAATAACAACAATATTGGCAGAAAGGTTAAGAGTCAATTTGATCTGAAATTATATTTAAAAGAGTACAGTCTTAGGAAGAAGGAGAACAATAAAGAACAAAGAGAAAGGTGATAGAGTGAAGATGTGCTAGGTGGAAGCACATATAAGAATGGTCAAAAGATTCGAACCTAATTTCACAATAAATTGGTGAATTAATGCATATGTATACTCAGCCGATAATGTGACTATTGGAGTCTTTGCAAATCAAAGGATAATACCCATCAACACTGAGACCAGAAGAAGGAATAGCAGAATTTAAATTTGTCTCACTAAGAGCAAGTAAGTCTAGTGAATTTTGCAGGAGGTAAGATTCAACTGATGGAAAGTTGCTTTGCAGACCACAAATATTAGTAAAAGATACAGAGCTCGATTTAACGGTTGGACATCGGACATTGTCCAGATAAAACCTAAGATTGTCTAATCAACTTAAAAAGTAATCAGGCATTTTGACCAATGAGAATTGAGTTCTACAAAATAAATACTTTGTTATTGAAATCACTAAAGAATAAATAAAACAACTCCTTACAAAAAAATAAAATAAATTAGCTTTAAAATAAAACTCAAAAACTCCAAGTGAAACTTACTATTTGCTATGTTTTTAATTGTAATTGAAAATAATTACTTTAAAACATATCTTTTGAAACGTTTTATTAAATTTTATTGAAATTATTGAAAAGTGAAATTTAATTATTAAAAAGAAAAAAATATTACAACTTAAAAATATTTTTAAGTTGAATAAACATTTTTTTCAAATAGTTGCAAAAAAAATTGTTTAAAAATATAACGTAGTTTTTTTAAAATAGTAATTTTTAATCATTTCATGCTCTGACTAGAAATAAAAACAAAATTAAACAATTCTTTGTAAAATAAATAAATAAAATCTTGGGAAGATTTAATTTAACTTAATCATAATTTAAAAAATAATTTTTTAAAAGATTTTTAGAAAGATAAGAAATAATAGTTTCAAGCGTTTAAAGTTATCATAAATAATACATACCTACTTAAAAAGAATTTAAATGTAACATTTAACAAGGTTGCGTGAGTAAAAAAAAAGCAATTGTTTTTACTCAGTAATTGGTCAACTTTACATAAATAAAAACATTTTTAAATTGGAATTTTGCTCAAACTTTTATTCACATAAAAGTGAACATTTACTTAGCGTTTTTGGAGTAAATTGCTTAGCTTTACATGAATAAAAATTTGAGCGAGTTTGCTCAAACTTATATTCACGTAAAGCTGAACAATTACTTTAAAAATGCTGAGTAAAAGCAATTGCTTTTTTTTATTCACCCCAACTATAAAATCAAAAATTAATTACAATAATCATTTAAAATAAACACATAACGTGTTTATTTTAAATGATTATTGTAATTAATTTTTGATTTTATTTAAAGCTTTTGCATAAAATAAAAATTTAAAAAAAGGACAACAATTAAAAGTTATTTGTAATGTGATGATTTTTTTATTGCATTTAAATTATTAAAACATCAAAACAGTCATCGTCAAATTGTAAAAAAAAAAAAATATATACAATATTGAATTGAAACTATTTTATTTAAAAAAAAAACCTGCAATGAAATATTTTAAGTAATAAGCAAAGAAACTTCATTAGACTAACGTTAAGTAAACTGAATAACATGACACAGATTTTGATTGCATAACTTGGTTCTATAAAACCATAAAAATTATTTTTTAAAAATTTGATTGGACACAAATAAGTTTTGATCAGACATTTTGAGCAGGACTTTATAAAAATTTAAATTGAGCCCTGAGATATACCAAAACAGTTAGGTGGTGGGGAGGGTTTTTTATGTTTAATACTTTGATTTACTTTTTGCATGATTTAAGTTTAAAGAGAACTTAACTCATTCATAGGTAGAGCATAGCCTCCCAAGCAATGAGCTATGCAATTTTCTCAGTCCTGTTAATTAACCCTAAGTCGTAATATATGGCTCCTTATGTGGCCTCAACAATGCACACCAAAAGCATTAACAGGGATACTATCTATGCGCCTCTCTGAGAGCTACCACAGAGTTTGGAAACAATATTACCAGCCAGCCTCAGAACCATTAAACTGAGTTTTGGAACTTATGTCCCTTATTAGGACATAACAGAAAGAGTTGCAGAACCACTATCAAGGAGGCACAACAAAAGTCTATTAGAAGAGTCAAGAAGATCCAGCACTCATTATTCTAGGCAGGAAATAATGTAATACAGGTTTACATCTATGCCAGCCTATTAGATGAAGAAGGAGTTCAAAGCTGATCAATAAAACTATTCTGCTTACCCCTAAAGACTTTTCCTAGGAGACCTCCTACAAATCAGTAGCTGGATGCAGTTAACATCTGCCCAAGATGAGTATTTTTATCAAAACACAATCTCTAGTTTTTACTCAAGCAAAGCCCCCAAGGCAGGGAATTTTTAACTTGGAGTTTGTTTTTCTTAGCCTTTGCCTGAAAAAGCACTCTACAAGACAGCAGGGCATGAGGCGAGTAGTAGTACATAATAGGTAGGGTTACATAATACCAGTAGCAAGGTGATTATGATGTTCCTGAACCTGACCTGACCAGGAGTAATTATAAGGAGCTACTTCCTGCAAACAGCACCCTAAAACCTCTGGCATAATATTTTGGAAACGCATTAGGAAAAATATTACACCCAACAAAATACTAGAGATAAGGGTGAGTGTAGGTTTAATAATTAGAGTGTCTAGTAAGTTAATGAGCTCACAAAAGCATTAAAACAGATTTAATCATTTAAACAGAATATTTAAATATTTAAGCAAAATACATACATACATAAAGTAACTTATGAGTGAGTAAACATTGTGCTTGAGGCTCAGACAGAACACTAACATACATATAAACATAAACAGAGAGAAACAATAAACATACAAATAGCAACTTATAGGTAAGTCAACACCTCGCAAGAGGTTCAGACAGAACACAACGATACAGATGTATGGCTAAGTTTGCAAAGATCAGCTCTGCAAAGCTCAGATTGTTCATCCATTGGAGCCAATGTAGTGCATAAGGGTATCAAATTATGACGTAATTTTGAGAATCATTATAAATAAATATTTCACTAATTACAAATGTAGCTTTTAAAGCAATGAAAAGGCACTTATAATACTTTTTTTTATGTTAATTCAACTTTCTAAGTCTGAGAAGGCCAATACGGTTGAGGCTACTTTAACTGTGATTACAACCCTCTCTCAACTCTATAACTTCAAAACAGGAACCTTTACAAACAATGCCACTACAAAAATAAACAAGTTGAGCGCAGTACTACCAGGGATGTGGTGGTATTCAAACTTGGAACTACACCACACTAAACTGAAGAATGTGCTGTGAGAAATGTGAAGATTCAAATAGACTTTCTTCTTCAAAGAATGTGCTGTGGGGAATGTCAATTTTCAAATAGACTTTCCTCTTCAAAGCAACATTTATCTGCTTGAACACTCCATCAAATTCCTTAACTATCTATTTGAAAATAGTTGAGGAGCTCAAGTTCCATAAGCACTGCTTGCGTGGCATATGAGGGTGATAAATGATCTTTCAGAACAGGCTGTAAAACTGATTCAAGTTTCTCAACTTGTGTTACCAATGATGAAACTTGAAAACAGTTTTTCTTACAAACTGTTGAATACCAGTGTAAAGAATTTCAAAACTTTAAAAATAAAACAATTAAACTCATCTGTACAGTTTACATGTGTACAAATAACATTATTGTTTTTTTTTGTTGTAGTTTTTGTTATTGTTGCTACTATTATTAGTATTAGTATTATTATTATGTACCTCTCATTAACCATTTGAGAGTTATTATTGCTGCCACAGACAAAGTAGCCATAATGATACAGAAAAAGTAGCCATAATCATTTGTAAAAAAAATTAATAGTCAGAAGCCTGAGATCTTGAACATTTTTGCACAACAAGTCCTTATAAACTGTTCCAGATGCTTGGAAGCCCGGAACTTCCCAAAAATTCCCTTTTCAGTGAGAAAATATTATATGAATTTATATGAAATTATATGAATAAAGTATTGAAAAAATTGACAGCTCAAATGATATAGTTAAGAGAGAAGTAGCTCTTATACAAAATTTTAACAAAATGTTCATAAATAACATGGCTGAATAACGGTTGGTCCTTAGAAAAATTTCAACAAAAAATGAAAGTCAAGAAGTTTTTCCTACAAGCTAACGCTTATTTATATGGTTGCACACTTTGAAAACCACACTTAAATATCAACAAATAGCAAAAACAGAATAAAATGGTACTATTTTTTTGCACAATTTTTATATTTATCAATTAATGTCACTGATTTTTTGCACATATTTTTTTCTTTACATTAAAAGCAGATTCCAGAGTTAAATTTACAATATTTATTTTTGATCAATATGTCAAGGATCCCCTAAACATATAACATGGACCCCCTAAACATATTTTTAGTTTTGAATACTATCTTAATACTGAATAATTAGTCATATATTAACATTCCTTATAGTTTAAATTAACCTATGATTTAATATTCATATGTTTCAAAGTTGGTATCTAATGATAATTCTAATATTTTTCAGAATTTTTCTAGATAGGCATTTTCTGAAAATGCTCTATGAACATTGTTTTTTGAGAAAATTTTATCTGTGAATAATTATAATAAATAAATAAAAAATTTCAAACTATTTACAAATATCAAGTGTAATCCATTTTGTATTTGTGCTCTCTTTATTTAATATCTTTTGAATAAAGCTTTCAAAGTTGATATTGTTCATTAAAATTACCAAAACTGTTATATCATCATCGCTACTTCTTCTTGCACTTTGTCTTTTTGTAATTAGGTTCCTTTTTTGAGCTAAAATTTAAAGATATAAAATTACAATTATTAACTTTTAATATTATTGAGAGATTTTTTTAAATCTAAAAACAAGTTTTTAAAGTAAACTTTTTTGTTTCAAAGATATTTTACTTTACACACATAAACACAATTTTTTTTTTTTTATCAATTCACCTCCTCAAGGCCAAGAAGGCCACTACAGACAAGGAGGCTACTTAATTGTGGTTATAACCCTCTCTCAACTCTATAACTCTGAAACATAAATCTTGTCGAACAAGGCAGCTGCGCAGAGAAACAAGTTGAAGCATTTTTTTTTTTAATACACATATATATACATATATTTTATATTTAAAATGTTTTACAAAACAACGAATATTGAAAAAATAGATCAATCAATGAATGTTCTGAAGCATCTGGCAGCGCACTATTATAATTCAAGGTGGTCCTCCACAACAACAAAAAGATTATTTGATTATATTGATTTTAAAATTAAATATTTTAAAATAAGATATTCAAAGTTTTGTAGTTTGTACCCAAAATGGTCCATTAGTTTACTTACCAAAATGGTGTATTTGATGGCAACTATACATACACATTGCGTAATTAAGTGTTACACAATACGTGTATTCACCATTAAATTTCAATATTGTTTGTAAATAATATCCAATTAAATGTTAATAAAAAGATTTAATGTCAAATCTTGTATGTGATACAAACAATAATAATTTATTTACTTTTGTTTTTTTATATATAAATGCATGGTTTAGAGATGCATTTATAAGTGGTTTAGAGATACATTTATAAATGGTTTATAGATGCATTTTTAAATGTCCAGATTTTGACAACTCAAAGGTGTTAGAAAAGAAATTAAATGGAAATGATGAACAAAAAATCTAATTTAATTAATGGGAAAGTACTGATTGATCCCAGTTAATGACTAAGAAAGTTTTCTTATTTGAATACAAAGAACTAGTTGTTTCTCACTTTAATCAACTTCGAATTCATGTATTGCTAAATGTCAAATTTGCAATTTAAAAACTTAAGAATACTTTAGATTAAAATGAATGTGTTATATTAGTAGATTTTGCAGAGAACCTACCATTATAATAAACAAGAACATATTACATCCCAAACCTTCCTGGGAAGCGTGTGCGGTTGTACGCCCTGTTCATCCATGCGTAAAGTAATTTTTTAGACAACTTGACCGTTTTTATAAAGTAAGCATTTTAAGAATTTTTAGCAAAATATGAAAGAAAAAAAGAGCAAAATATAAAAACTATAAAAAATTGGAGAGGATAAAACAGAAATACTCAAAGGAAGAAAACGAAAAATAAATGAAATAGAAAATCTAAATAAAATAAACTAAAAAAAAATTAAATATTATAAAAAAAAAAATGTTGTCAAAAAAATAATATACCTAAATATTTTATTGTTTTGGTTTCCTTATTTTTAAGTTAAGAAAAAAAGCAGACAAGAATGTAATGAAAGTAAAATATATTTCAATTTTCAATTTTTCAGTCAGTATATTAAGGAAATATTTTATTAGTTGCAATAGAAACAAGGACAAATTTTAAATTTGTTTTTTAAATGCTTTTACTAAACTTTACTGTTTTTATCAATGCACAGGAAAGTGAGAAAACAGTTGCTATTTATTTATAAAATTTTTTTTTTAAACAGGTTTTTCATGTAAAACAATAAAAATAACTTCATTATCTAAGCAAGTTTAACTTTTTAGGTTTTGAACAAACTGCTTACTCTGGCTAAATTAACATGTGACTTCTGGTCTTAAACTGGTAAATTATCATAAATTTGCTTAATATTTTTAGTACATGATGCCAATTAAAAATGTAATGATGGTAAATTTAAATTGATGGGTAGGCATGGTTACAGAAACACTTATCACTACAAATGATATTCAAACTAAGTTTATGCACCCTTGTGGTCCATTTCAAAACTTTATTTGGCCACAAAGAGATGATTTTTATTGTCTATTTTAATAATTGTTATCAATGCCCCAACAAAAAAATCAGGGCAAATGTATAACAGCATACAAAAAAATGTTTGTGATAATAAAAGTAAAAATGCCACAAACAAATGTAAACGCTCTGTTTCCACATTCAGATTTAAAAAACATATACATTTATTGTATAGAAACTACTTCAACTTCTAAACAATTAAAATAATTTTTTTTTTACAAATATTGTAATTATTGAGTTGAGCGTGGTAATACTGGGGACATGGTTGGGATCAAACTCAGAACTTCTCGCTTATGAGGTGAGCACTCTACCACTACACCACTACTACATCGTATTATTGAAAATGATGAAACTTATACCAGTTACAATCATCAATAAATTCCTGATGCTGTTTTTTATATTGCCAAATATATATATATTAATTATAAAATAAATATATTTGGCAATATAATAAACAGGTATATTTAAAAAATATATATATATATAAATATGCAGAAATATTAATCACAAAACATGATAAGTTTGCTAAAAAAAAGCCTTGATTTTGCAAGCTATTTACAGTTACAGGCAAAAAACTGACACCATATCTTTCTGAGTCCACACTTTTTGGTAAAGTATGTATTTAGGAGTGTTTACAAAAACGCCTTTAACCTTTCATTAAATCACATGATAGCAGTTATGATTTGACCTAATTTAGCTTCAAGTCATAATAGTAAACTGGAATGATATAAACTTACGATATAAAATTATGGAATGATATAAACAAAAGAACATGAAAGTTGTCTAAACCAGAAAATCCTCCTAACTGCCCAGAATTGAAAGTAATTGAAAAGTATTGGGCAATTATTAAACAAAAAAATAAAAAAAAACTAAAAAAAACTATGCAGAAATGTTGAAGATTTGAAATTGTCATTTAAAAAAGCATCAAAAAGTTTTGATTGTAGGCAAGTACAGCTTACATTCCTTCATTCCAGTGATATCTTTAAAAGATCACCACAACTCTGTCATGTTAAAGCAAGAATTTAACAAAAGGAATTAAGCATTAAAAGTAAGTTTTATACTCATTAAGTTGATGAAAGAAAAAACTTTAACAAGCAGCTTTGTACAGGAAAAAACTGATGTATTCTTGGTTATCAAAAACATTTGTTAATCAATCAATCAATCAATCATATATATTCTGAAAATAAATTTTCAAGGCTATTTACAAATAGTATTGAAATACTAATCTCAAGTAAATACCTAAAAAAAATAATTTATATATATACAATTAATCTTAATAATAATAATAGCAATAATAATAATAATAACAATAGCAACAAAGTAATTATAATAATTTAAATAATCGGTATTTTCCCTACAGCAATCATTTTTACATGCAAAGTTACAGTTACAAACAGTAATAAACTGACAAAACGTAACAACTAACGATGACATAAAAACGACTACTACTAAAAAAAATTTAAAGATTTAGTAAATATATTAATATAATCATAGTTGTAAAAATATAATAATCAAAATATATTGCAAATATTATGACCAAATAAATAAATATAATATAAACAGAAAAACACTGAGAAAATCAAAACAAAACAAGTTACAACAATCATTACAAAACAAAACAAAAAACTATGCAAAATAAACAAAACAAACAGCAACAACAAAAAAACTTAAAATTAAAAAAGATAATAACAATAAACGGTAGAATTATAATAAATGGCTAAAAATGAAAATAAAAACAAACAATATATAACTGTATAAAAAATTTATATACCACTAAAAATAAATAATAACTAAAAAACAAACAAATGACTAACAAAAAATAACAAGTAAAACTATATACGCTAAAAAATTGAAGAAAAATAAATAAATAATAAAATAAATAATCCTAAGAAATATATGAAAGAAAGCTAAAAAAATGTATGAAAAATAAATAAAAATCTAGATTTGCCGATCGAGGTTCATCTCTGTAAATTGTTTTTTTTTTTTTTTTTTTTTTTTTTTTTTTTTTTTTTTTTTTTTTTTTTTTTTTTTTTTTTTTCTTATTGTTAAACAGTAAATGCTTGTTGCATTATTCTAGAACACATTAGACTTACCAAAATGTAAAAATAAATTTTGATTTAAAATAAGTAGAAGAAAAATTTTAGAAAACTAATTAAGTATAGTCTTCTTCTTTTTAAAATTTGTCATCATCATCTGTGGAATTCAATCCCACAGCGCAAGTATCCATGCTGTTGGTGAGAAGTTAAACATTTAAAGCTAATTGTGGTTAACTACAAATCTTCTGTTGGATAAGGAATAGGTCATCAGTTCTGGCAGTTTCTTTGAAACTTGGAAATAATTGCATAAGACTTTAGAGAGAAATAGACAAAATCCACTAGCTATTTGAAGTGTCAGCAAGTATTTATTTCAATAATCAATTTAAAAGTATCCGTTGATATCTCATAAGAATAGCATGTAGCAAAAATACCTTCTCACAAGAAGAGCACGTAGCAAAGATACCTATACAATCAATAAAGAAGTTTTCTTCACTTAATACACAAAAGTTCATCTTAAAAGATTCGACTGCAAAAATTTTTTATAAAAAACTTTAAGTTGCAGCACAAAGAATTTAAAAACACAGAAATATGTTTAGTAAAACTATAAATAACCCTTCAGTTATAACTACTAAACAAATATCCGTTAAAATTATTCTTACCTTTCAAATAAGAAAATTTATTATCTCATTCAAAGGTCTACTGTGGTTAAATAAATGCTTAATATATATATTATATATATATATATATATATATATATATATATATATATATATATATATATATATATATACATATATATATATATATATATATATATATATATATATATATATATATATATATATATATATATATATATATATATATATATATATATATATGTATATATATATATATATAAAGAGAGAGAGAGAGAGAGAGAGAGAGAGAGAGAGAGAGAGAGAAAGATTTTCACATTTAACGTGAAGCGCTTATTTTACCTTTAATTTATGTTTGGTTAGATTATCCTTTATCCAAAATTTCAAAAGAATCATAATTAGACAGATTTTTACAATTAATTGATGTATTTAAATATTTATATTCATGGGATTTTTATTAGTTTAAGGTGTTCATTCATCCTAGTTTTGATTTTATTTCAATATAAGCAGAATAAGATTTAAACAGTTTAGGAAGTAAATAAATATAGTTTAAACAAAAATTATTTTGTATTTTATTAGTAGTAAATATTAATTTTATTAGAACATCTTTCAATATTTACTGAAACTTATTTATTTTTTTATTTTAGTATAATTAGAATAAGTTCCAATGAATGGAAGCAATGAGTGGAAGCTTAAAAGATTTTTATATTGTAATACTTTCTGTCAAATATATTTGAGTTATTAACAACAGTTAAAACAATGAGTTCCTTATCTATATATGATTTAATTTCAATTTAAGAGTTGATAATTGTTTGTTGATGTTTTATAAAATTGATTATTTTATAAAACATCAACAAACAATTTTTTTTTAATTTATTTCTTTATCAAATCCCAGCCAAGTAATATTAATTTTAAACGTTTGATCAATCAAACCACGTATAAGACCAAATTTGTAGCAAGAGAGAACAATGCTAAAAAAAATTTCTAAAAGACCTCTAGTAGTTTTTTTATGAAAAACTGAAATCAAAAAGGAAATGGATTTTTTAATACGTACATATATAATAGCAATTTGGTTTTTTTTCCACTGTAAATTTAAATTTTTATGTTGTATATTGAAATGATTAAAAGAATATTGGTCTTCATATTCAGATAGCAAATATGTCATCTAAAACTGAGTTTTGAAAAAATTATTTGAAGCAAGTTTTATCTTTAAAGAATCAGTTGCTATTTTGATGGCTTCCTTAAGTGGAAAGTTTATAAGTAAACTTTCAACACTATATGAAAGGATAAATTTATTATTTGCGCTAATCTATCTATTAATATATTGTAGTTGTATTTTTAAGATTATATTTGCAGTTGTATTGTTAAGATTATATTGTAGTTGTATTGTTAAGATTATATTGTAACTGTATTGTTAAGACTATATTGTAGTTGTATTATTAAGACTATATTATAGTTGTATTGCTAAGATTATATTGTAGTTATATTGTTAAGATTATATTGTAGTTGCATTGTTAAGATTATATTGTAGTTGCATTGTTAAGATTATATTGTAGTTGTATTGTTAAGATTGTATTGTAGTTGTATTGTTAAGGTTATATTGTAGTTGTATTGTTAAGATTATATTGTAGTTGTATTGTTAAGATTATATTGTAACTGTATTGTTAAGATTATATTGTAGTTGTATTGTTAAGATTATATTGTAACTGCATTGTTAAGATTATATTGTAGTTGTATTGTTAAGATTATATTGTAGTTGTATTGTTAAGATTATATTGTAGTTGTATTGTTAAGATTATATTGTAGTTGTATTGTTAAGATTATATTGTAGTTGTATTGTTAAGATTATATTGTAGTTGTATTGTTAAGATTATATTGTAGTTGTATTATTAAGATTATATTGTAGTTGTATTGTTAAGATTATATTGTAATTGTATTGTTAAGATTATATTGTAGTTGTATTGTTAAGATTATATTGTAGTTATATTGTTAAGACTATATTGCAGTTGTATTATTAAGACTATATTGTATGTTGTATTTTTAAATATATGATAAATATACGATTAAATATAAGACTATATTGTATGTTGTATTTTTAAATATTGTATGTTGTATTTTACTATGTTGTATTTTTAAGATTATATTGTAATTGTATTGTTAAGATTATAGGTCAAAAAGTTGGAAGAGAATGATCTTGACAAAGTTTGTTCAAAATTAAATTTTTGTATCATTTTTTCAATTGTATCATTTTTTCTTTCAATCATATTTAAATCATTTTAATCATATTATAAATTGTCATGAAAGGTAGTGTAATGGTGATCATCATCCTCATGTGATGGTGATCATGACCAGGCGTGAAAGGTTGTGTAATGGTGATCATCATCCTCATGTGATGGTGATCATGACCAGATGTGAAAGGTTGTGTAATGGTGATCATCATCCTCATGTGATGGTGATCATGACTAGACGTGAAAGGTTGTGTAATGGTGATCATCATCGTCATGTGATGGTGATCATGACCAGACGTGAAAGGTTGTGTAATGGTGATCATCATCCTCATGTGATGGTGATCATGACCAGATGTGAAAGGTTGTGTAATGGTGATCATCATCCTCATGTGATGGTGATCATGACCAGACGTGAAAGGTTGTGTAATGGTGATCATCATCGTCATGTGATGGTGATCATGACCAGACGTGAAAGGTTGTGTAATGGTGACCATCATCCTCATGTGATGGTGATCATAACCAGACAAAGGCAATAGTATAATTGTTCTTAATAAATTTGATTAAATAAAATCTTTACATAATGTAAGTAATAAGACCAAGTTGAAAGAATTAAAAATGGGTCCTACTATAAAATATAAGCTAAAATTCTTTGAAAAAGAATTTACAATAAAATCATTGAAATTTATTACAATTTTACAAAACTAAAAATTAAAAAAACCTTGAAAAAATATTAGAAAGACTTTTTAATGAATTAATATTTATTACTAATAAAATACAAAACAATTTTTATTTAAAAAATTCACCTCTTAAGCTACTTAAATATTATGTTATTTACAAATTTTTTTGTGTTAGTTGTAGTGCCAGTTGTATTGGACATTTGACAACTAGCATAAATGAGCCCCTTAAAACTGATAAAAATCCCATGCATATAAACATTAAAAAATATTAATTTTAAAAAATCTTAATTTTAAGTAAATAAATTAATGGTAAAAGAAGTCACATTGAATGGGCTTACCTAATAAATCTCTCACTTAACAAACTTCCGATAATATTATTAACTTATTTATATATATATATATATATATATATATATATATATATATATATATATATATATATATATATATATATATATATATATATGTACATTAATGTCAGTACATGAGCATAACACCATATATATGATACAAAATAAAAATAAAAATTTATCATAAAAACTACAAAGAACAATTATAAAATTCAGATTTTTAAAGGAAATCAGATAAAATGAGACTCACATTGAGGAAAGTCAACTTTATACAGATCAGTATCTACTGCTAAACTGCTTTGATTTGTTAACTGAGCAGCATGCTTTTCATTGTTTACTGAAAAATATTTTGATGCCTTTTTATCTGTTGTCTTTTCTTTTATGAATTCAATTTGAGTGTCTTTCCAATCAAATAATATTGGCTTTCCTGATATACTAAAAGTATAAGTAGCAGCCGTTTAATCATTACCATAGATTTTTATGATTCAGATAAATTGAAATAAAACTTTAAAAATTAAATTAAAAAATAAAAATAATAAATATAACAGTATAAAAATTAATTATGGTTAAATGTAAATAAAATTTAATATTTTTTATTTTTATGAAAATTATTAAAAAAAAAAGAAGAAAATTAAATTTAAAGAACTAGAAATATAATATAAAACACCTTAATGTTTTTTTATCACCAATTTCGGCATTTATATTAAGATTTTCAATAGCAAAACTAAATTCTGGAATATACTTTAACAAACCATTGATGCCAAAGTTAGATAAAAGATCAGAAAAAGAAAGAAATTCAATGGAACCTAAATTATTTAATAAAAAAATAAAAGGTAATAAACAAATACAATTTTTTTAGATGTAATCCAATCAGAACACTTATAATGTTAATAATAAAATCTCTATTAGTCAAGAGTCATTCAAATCAAAATTTAAACATAACCAAAAATACAACTTTTTTTGGTTCCAAAAATTGTAAAAAACAGCTAAACTCAAATCAATTAAAAAAAAATTAAATATATAAGATAAAAAAGCAATAACTATTCTATTTAAAAAACTATTACCATCAGTAACCAACCAAGTTACCATCAGTAACCAACCAAATTACCATCAGTAACCAATCAAATTACCATCAGTAACCAAACCAATTGTCATGTTATTTATTTAAAAAAAAAAAAAAGCATTCAATATAAAAACCTTTAAAGTTAATGTTTCCTTCCTTTTTCTCAGCTGAAATACTAATTGATGTACTACCAAGTTTCATTTGAGATTCAAGTGAAAAACTAAATTCTTTTTTGTTTCTATTATTTGGATCTGCTGATTTCATCATCTTCAGTGTAAATACTGTATTTTCAACCGACAGAAAATGATTACCAAGAGATAACTATTAAATTATAGACAATATTTTATTACCGTATTTAAAACTAATTACTTAATTTGTAAGTAATTAAACTAATACAGTATGAATTTTAAAAAGAAATAATTTAGCTGAAAAAACATCTTTGGATTGTTTAATTTAAGCAACATTCAATAATATTCAAGATTGGTTAAAGCTATTGTTTAACTGCTTACTAAACAAAAATGGTTTAAAACACTGTACTAACAACTAGTTGCTGAAGTTTATTTCCTCTTATTGTTATAACTTGTAATTATTTGAAGAACAGAAATCATCTTTACTAGGAATCAGCATTTAAATAATTGCACCAATGCTTGAAAATACACAAGTTGCATTTTCAAACATTTCTTGGAATACTATTTTTCAATATTTTTCAAATTTTCACGAAAATAATCAATAAAACCCCATTTTTTTATATGGCGTGTGTTTACGCTACATGCGCTTATACTACTATATGCCAAAAAAACACGCTAAAAAAAAATTTGCACTTATTTAGTATACTTTTTTTTTCAATCTTTTTTTTTGTTATTTACTATTTATACTTAATAACATTTTGTTTCCAAAGTTGAAAAATAGTATAGGTATTTGATATTCAGAAAAATTTTAAAAGAAAATTATTTTACACGAAAATAATTTTGGAATACTATTTTTCATTATTTTTTATTTTCGTGTAAAATAATTTTCTTTTAAAATTTTTCTGAATATCAAATACCTATACTATTTTTCAACTTTGGAAACAAAATGTTATTAAGTATAAATAGTAAATAATAAAAAAAAAGATTGAAAAAAAAAGTATACTAAATAAGTACAAATTTTTTTTTAGCGTGTTTTTTTGGCATATAGTAGTATAAGCGCATGTAGCGTAAACACACGCCATATAAAAAAATGGGGTTTTATTGATACAAAAGCTTTTTGTTTGCTAATCATTACATTAAACAAGCACAAACTATGAGAAGATATCAACTGAATAATGAAGGTGAAGATGCAAAGTTTATTAAGATCTTTTTGACCAAATTGAAAATATCTATTACATAAAGTATTATAACAATAATATTATAATAATATAAAAATAATAGCTCTAAGACAATTTTGGAGACAACAAATTATTTCTGAATAATTATTTTTGAATAAAATATGGTTATTAACAGTTTATAAATGGTTATTTAAAATCATTTTTCTTAAACTAAATTGATTTTTTATAAAAATGTTTTTTTATTATCATTTTTTTTTTTTTTTTTAATGTTATTCACTTTTCTAAGGCCAGAATAGCCATTATAGTCAAGGAGGTTGTGGAGACTTTTGGCTGAGGGTGCACACAAGACAATATCATCAGCATAAAAAAGATGGTTAATGAGTGAAGGATGAATACTGAAGCCTATAGGAGTTGCATTAATTTTGGATTTGTATCCATGACACAACATAGAGAAAAAAAAAAATGATAATAAATTAAAGTAATTAATGCTAGCATAAAGATAATGCTCCAACTGAAGTCCAAAGTGGTCAGCTGCTTTTCCACAACTCATAAGCTTATAAGTTTAATGATAGATTGGACTTCATTGGGGTAGATAATAATATCATCAGTCTTGAGAAGTTTATAACTATTAACTATGAAGGTATTATTTATATGGCATGTTGGGTTGACTGAGTAAAACAGGGTGTAATAGTGGTTAATTGGTAGTTTTTATTCAAAAAGTTTTGATGTTGATCCCCACCACAGCCCTGGTAGTACCATGCTCAACTTGTTTCTCCACGCAGCAGCCTTGTTTGTCAAGGTTTGTGTTTCAGAGTTATAGAGTTGAGGGAAGCTTGTAATCAAATTAAAGTAGCTTCGCTATAACAATAAACTCTTTTACCATATCAGTTGACATGATATTAAAATTTACTTTGGTAGATCTTGTAAAAGTTGGATGAGCAGTAGAAGAAAAAGAGACATCAAGTTTAAATAAAATATCAAACATTAAAGTCAAGTGATCAGAAGGACTTGTAGACTAATTTATATTGAAGTTATTAACCATACATTGAAAACTTTGAGAGATAAGGCAATGATCAACCCAAGTGGTGCCCCATGCTTCACTGACAAAAGTAAAAGAATTATGCGGAATACAGCTGTAAGCTATAACAAGATGTTCATCAGCATAAAAATCAGCAAGGAGACTGTTTCATGGAGATGGGAATGGTAGATCTCAATTAAAGTCAACAATAAAAGCAAATTTATAACTGGTAATTTAAATAAGAACTGATAAGCAAATAAGGAATTCAGAGTATTTATCAGCATTCTTGTATAAGTCATGATGCATGTAAATATTGATAGCTATAAACTTATCAGAAAAGTTGTTTATAAGTTGGATAGCAACAAACCAAATATTATCAGTAATAATAACTTGAGTCCTCCTAGAGAGAATTATAAGATAGCAACACCACCAAAGGATCTACCATGAATAAAACCTGCTGAGTAATCAATTAGTGACACTCTAAGTCCATAAAAAACCAGGTACAATGTTATTCAAGATACTAAGTTCAGTGTTAAGTAACCAAATTTCTTGGAGGCAAATGATGTCATACGTGGAATAAAAGAGTAACAATTTGTGCGTGGAACTTTGAACACCAAGACAATTAAAGCAACAAGTTTTTCTTTCAATAAGTGACAATATTGAAATCACTAGTGTCTGCAATTGGGTGACAAGTCTCATAAGCTAGAGGGAGACCAGATAGTAAAGAACATTAACAGAACAATTAATAAGATTGTCAGATAACTGATTATTGTTTATAGAATCAATTTGATACAGAGTTTTAATTTAATTTTGTAAGCTAAACTAGTTGAAGAATTAACTTGAGTTTGAGGGTAAGGTAATCATAAGGGGCTAATTTTACACTATCTGTTGGAAGAAGTGGCCAATCATTAACAAAAGTTGGGTTTGTTTGTGCTTTTTACTACAAAGTGTAAAAAATTCTTTAAAATCCATGAATAAACTAAGCAACTTTTTTTTTTCATTATGGGCTTTTCATTATTTGAACTTTTCATTATTTGAACTTTTCATTATTTGAACTTTTCTTTATTGTGAAACTCTAAGTTTCATGACATTTGGCATTCATTCAGACAATTATATTTAGACAATTATATTCAGACAATTATATTCAGACAATTATATTCAGACAATTATATTCAGACAATTATATTCAGACAATTATATTCAGACAATTATATTCAGACAATTATATTCAGACAATTATATTCAGACAATTATATTCAGACAATTATATTCAGACAATTATATTCAGACAATTATATTCAGACAATTATACTCAGACAATTATATTCAGACAATTATATTCAGACAATTATTTCAGACAATTATTTGACAATTATTCAGACAATTATTTGACAATCATTCAGACAATTATTTGGCAATCATTCAGACAATTATTTGACAATCATTTCAGACAATTATTTGACAATCATTCAGACAATTATTTGGCAATCATTCAGACAATTATTTGACAATCATTCAGACAAATATTTGACAATCATTCAGACAATTATTTGACAATCATTCAGACAATTATTTGGCAATCATTCAGACAATTATTTGACAATCATTCAGACAATTATTTGGCAATCATTCAGACAATTATTTGGCAATCATTTCAGACAATTATTTGGCAATCATTCAGACAATTATTTGGCAATCATTCAGACAATTATTTGACAATCATTCAGACAATTATTTGACAATCATTTCAGACAATTATTTGGCAATCATTCAGACAATTATTTGGCAATCATTCAGACAATTATTTGGCAATCATTCAGACAATTATTTGACAATCATTTCAGACAATTATTTGGCAATCATTCAGACAATTAATTGGCAATCATTTAAATTTATAAAATAAAAACCAATATAAAAAAATACAAGTTTAGCATTGATATGGCATCAGACATCAAATTTACATGATTCGAGATTTGCTGATTGTTGGTATCAAAGTGATATAGTTAAATTTTTTTCCTATGCCTACATTCGAAAACCAATTCCATTTTTATGTGTAGTAGTGATTCATGATTAAAACTCATAATAAATATTTTTCATAAAAACAAAGATTATAAATTGTACAATTAGCATCTATTAATAATATTCCACTTGATTATAGCCATGTTACCTGCATATTTCTTTTTAAAAGATCAGTATCATTTCTGTACCAGGTTAAGTTAAAGGATTTGAGGTGGTTTGTAAATCTAAGCTTGAATGATTTCTCACTAATACTAATATTATGATGTAATGGAAAATGTAAGTCTAAGAAAAATAAATGTAAGTTTAAGAAAAAATATTTTATTTTTTTTACAACATTTTTGCTGATCGGAGGATTGAGCAATATAGTATTTCCTTTTTGTTTATTCCTATTATAGGAGGGTTTAGATTTTAAGGATATTGGAGGTTGTTGTAAAATCCAGACTTTTCTAATGTGTCTTTATAAATAGGAGCATTGTTTTAAAAAAAACTTTTTTGTTTGAAGAATTGGTAGATCACCTATATTAAATTGAGGTTGTTAATTGTTTTAAAATGCATGATGTGTGGTTCAAACTAACATCATTATAATTTAGCATGCTATCAGGATTATGGTAAGGTTAATAAATACATTTGTCAAGGTTTAATATAACATCAAAGTAGTTGACAATTTTTATATGAGATTAAATGAAAATAATGAGGTTGCTTTGTTTAAATATCTAAGTAAAATGTTTAAAAATATTTGTATTTTTGTGTTTTTAAACACAGATAAGTCATCTTCTTTATGTAATTCAAATTTTGCTATAAAATTGCAAAAACTGGAAGTAAAGAAAAATACAGAATAACTCACACACCTCCACGCCATCAATTGCACCGATGGTAAAATCAAACAAACCATATAATTTTGTTACCCAAACTTAACCATTGCTAAATAATTAAGATATTTGCACATGAAGAATTAAAGATTTATTGTATGCAACACTGGTAACATTATTCCATAAAGTGTATGAACACCAAGCTAAGAAATATTTTGCAATTTTGTGTAGTAATACACAAAATGCAATGAATTGGTTCAAAAATAATGACAAATATTTTTTTTAATTTCTTGCTTTTGACTTGTTGAATATTAATGAAAAACTTCTTATCCATTCACTTTCAATCAACTTCATTCAATATCAATCAACTCCATTCACTTTCAATTACCCCCATTCACTTTCAATCAACTCCATTCACTTTGCAGAACAATACATTTTATTTGTCATGATTATTTTTCATTAATTTTTTTATAACAACTGTATTTATTAAAAAAATAAAAACACCAAAATAGGTTAAGTACGTTTGCTAGATTATCTCAATAGTATTTTTATTATTTTAACAAAAGCTTTTTATTTTTGCTAAAAAATCTAACTGTTTATTAAATTATGCAATAATTAAATGAAAAATTTAATTATTGCATAATTTAATAAACAATTAGATTTTTTAATTCATTAAAAACTGTAAATAAAAAAAAATAAAAAAAGATATAATTTTAATGTACCTTTTCAGGAATCGCTATGGAAATTTCCACATCTTTTGATTTAATGTTTATATCAAATTTTTTGAAAATAATTTTAAAATTTGACTTGAAGAATTTTCTGAGAAATGTGTTTACATTTGGTACTAATGCAGCTAAAATATCTTTACCATCATCAAAAATGTCTGGTGGAAATACAATTGAAATATTTTCTTTTTGGATGATTATCTTAATTGCTATACTTCTCAATTTTCCATTTTTGTTTAGTATTTTATCTATAGGGAAGTTGAAACTAATTATAGTGCCATGTGAAAAGTTTCCAGAATCGCTTGCACTTAAACCTGATAACATTTCTTTAATTTTAGGGTCATCTAAATTAACTATATCTTTGCTTGCATACTCAATAGAAGTATCTAACTCAAGGTTGTTTAGTATGCTTATATCCAGATCTTTTTTAACAATTTTTGAAATAATTTTTAGAGGTTTAACATTTTTCAGAGTCGTAGCAATAGCTACACCAATAGGTGCATCAGAAGGTTTCTGAATAACCATCAATGCATTTATCTCTCCAAAACCCGTAATCCCAGTAGCCTCACCACTTAAAACAATCACATAACTTCCATCTTCATTCTTTATAATTTTAAATGTTGGTTTGTTAACAACCATATTAGAAAACATTCCTCTTTTTCCAACAATAGCATCACCACCAGACAATGCATTAAAGTTAAAAATTTTTTTTGAAAAATCAATAACTTTAATTTTATCAGCAAATATTTCAAAAGTGGATGATGAACTTTCTTTTTCTTTTTTTACTTCAACTGAGACAGTTAAACTTGCAATTTTTATTTTACCACTTATGTCGAACTCAATATTTTTAAAATTAAAATTACTTTTTAGCTCCACATAGTTGAATTTGAAATTTAGGTCACCATTTATTATCTAAAAAATAAAAAAAACAGGTAGTTTATCTTTAGAGCTTTAGCTCTAGGATTAAATTCAAATTATATTTATTCAAATTCTAATGTCAATGTGAATATGTATGTGTTTTTGTTGTACTTGTACAACATTCACTATATGTAACTATCTTTTAGATTTTTGTGTTCATATTTGGCAAAAAGAACTTTTTATTTTTCTTATATGGAAACTTGATCAAAAATCTAAATTCGTCATTTTTTATTATTAAAATTTATTAAATTTTATATAATTAAAGCTTTTTTTTTAATCAACAGAAAAACTGAAAATTTACTTAAATATATTACAAAAAGTTCTCGAATGTTCATTCTATGAAAATTTTTCATAGAATATATTTTGTCATTCAATGTATGTAAACAGTGTATGTAATCAGTGAAAAAATAAAAATAAAAACATTCAGAATTTATTACATGTAAGCATTAAATTTTTTATTTTACTTTCTTTTTTTTTTTAATTAAAACATTCTGAATGTTTTTAAAAATGTTCCAGTCTAGTAGTTAGTGTTTTTGTGGTTTTTAAAAAACAATAAAATTTAATTAAATTTCTCAACTGAATTTAATGATTTTTACATAGTGTACATAATTTTGTCTTCTTTAAACACAATGAGTCATTAAGAGCCATTTTTCAGGCCAAATGGTAAATTTAATTGTCAAACTAAAGGAATATATATACAGTGTTTCCAGAAAGTATTAGCGCACTTGTAACTTTATTTTTATATTCAACTTCAAATCAATATAAATTGAAAACTAATTTTAATTTTGAACTAATTATTTTTTTTAAATAAAAGGTGAAACCAAATAAAACAAATATAATGTCAATTTTTGTCAACCAGTTTTCCATGAATTAATTAGAAATTTAATGACTACTCTGAAAAATAAGTGAAAATAAGTGTGCAAAAGTATAAGCGCACTCATTTAAAAAGTATTTTAGAAATAATTTTTGGAATCTTTTTGATTGATTTTCAAATTAATCTTTGCTTATTAAAAATAGTCAATATATAATGTAAGTAATGTAATTGAATGACGAAAATGTCATTTTAAACTCAGTTAAAACTTCAAAACTGCAACAACAAAACTATGGGTTTAAAGAGAATATTAATGCAAATGATAAATCAGACATTAGCTCAAGATCAGCCAATGTAGCATTAGAATAACACCTGAAAACTATGTTGCTTTGGTTGTCCTAAAAAAATGTCAGAATGAGACAAAAACAAAACAATTATGCTCACTAAATGCAATTTAAACACAAGCTAAGCTGTAATTACCTCAGATCTGAATACAACAATAGATGCACATCAAGGTAGCCGATAAACAATTAGCAAGATGATGAAAAAAAAAAAAATCAATTCATTTCTTGCAACAAAGAAGCCACTACTAAGCATCAAAGACCATCTCAAGCACAGAAAATGGTGCAAAGAAAGAGCTGTATGGAGTGTAGAGTAATGGAAAAAAAGTTATTTTCTCAGATGAGTCGAACTTTGAACTTATCAATTGCAAGAAAAAGATTTTAGTAAGAAGATACAAAAACGAAAAATACAATCCTTGTATATTCTTGTCAAGCCTTTATAAAGGAGGAGATTCAATTGCGATTTGGGGCTGCATTGCTGGATCTAGCACTGGCCTGGTGCATATTTACACTGATTGCCTCAATCAATATTGGTATAGAGAGATATTAGAAAATTATTAACAACCTTTTAAGAATCTTTGCAGTTGGATGGGCTCTAAATTATAAAAAAAGCAAGCTTACTTAATTGTTGCAGCTTAAGACTCAAATGCAATCATTGTAAAATACCATACCACAAAATCAAATCAAAAAACTTTTAGATTCTATGTAGTATAGAGTCTTGGCATGTCTTAAAAATGAGATAAAAAAATTCTGTGTGCATTTTTACTTTCTGAAAGCACTGTATGTATATATATATATATATATATATATATATATATATATATATATATATATATATATATATATATATATATATATATATATATATATATATATATATATATATATATACTTTCTTTTATTTTTTGAAAATAAAGTATATTAAATAAAAATAAACCTTAGCTTTATCATTAACAACATCAAAAGGCTCAATGACTCCACAACTAAACTCCACATCTCCATTGTTGTCACCACATGTATTTAAAACAATTTTTTTGACTGCAAATGCACCAGCATAAAAAGTATTTCTTTTTAAACTTTCAAGCTGATCAAATTTTTTATTTGAAAGAAAATCAAACACTTTGCCAAGCGATAACTTTCTGGTACACGTTTGATCAGGCTCGAATGTCCAAACACATCTATCTTTTGAACTTTCAATACTGCAACCAAAAAGTTCATAAGAAGTACTGCCATCAGAAGATTTTGTTCCAAACAAAGTTTCAAATGCAGGTAACAAATCTAAAACAATTAAAATGCTAAAAATAATCTTTGCATTTTGTAAACCAGAGCAGTTAACTTCTCAGGTTTACAGTTTATAAAACATTAGGTTAGGATTTAAAGTTATTTCTTAAACATGTTTCTATAATATTAGGAACTACAAGTTTTTCTTAAATTTTATGAAAATTTAAAAAAAGCATAATACAAAAAAATGCAAATTATTTGACATTTGTGTAAAAATATGTGTAACTGGATGAGAATGTTTGAGTTTTATTATATGTACATTCAATAATGTTAAGTTTATTATTTACTCAATGCAAACAGTGTTTATAGCTTTTGGTACATATAGAATATTGCGCATTTGCCGTTTCGTATTTACAGTTTGCAAATTTAAAAAGCACAAAACTTTGAAAAAAAAGCATAAAAGAACCAGTGTAAGCAAAACAAACTTAATACTAATACACTGAAACTACTTATTAGGGTGTGTGCGCAAAATAGTATTTTTTTAAAAATAAAACAAAATGTATACAAAATATAAAAAAAAAAAGAATTACTAATGAATAATAAATGCATAATCATAATATAATTCGCGATATCATTAAATTATTTTTATTGGCTTTTAGAATTTACAGACATTTTAGTTAAGAACTTGTTTTAAAATTATTTCTTTTCTCAACATTTGATTCAATGCTATTATTATTATTATTATTATTATTAATATTATTATTATTATTATTATTATTATTATTATTATTATTATTATTATTGCTATTATTATTATTATTATTATTATTATTATTATTATTATTATTATTATTATTATTATTATTATTATTATTATTATTATTATTATTATGCTTAATCATATAATGGTTCTCATCCTAATATTATAAAAACTGCTGTGTGTTTTACAAAACTTTGTTTTAAATAAAATTATTTATTTATTATAGACTAGACATTTCTTACAAACAATGTACCTAACTGCTGCAAAACAATTTTATAATTTTTTTTTTTTTTTTTGATTTTTTCATGGAAAATATAGTTATATAACTTAATATTTACTTTTTGGTTAATTTAATCAACACTTTAATATAACATGATATTTGCTTGTAACAGATTTAAAAATTTAAAAATATAAAACAGTTACTTTTATTAAAAGCAGCTCTTTTACTTCTCACTGGCAAAAGGTAATTGTAGTTGGTTTCAGCATAACATATCCATTCAACTAATATGAGGAACACAAAGAGCATCCTAACCTGAAATTCAAAAAATATTTCTAATAATAGATATACAAATACTCACACTAACTTTTTCAAATAAGGATTTACATATTAAAAATAACACTAACTTGCAAAATGTTTTCACTTAAAGAAATTAATTCTTGACTCATTGATAAAAGCACCTTACTTAAAAAAGTTGTAGAAATCTGAAAACTTTTAATGGACAAACTTGCAGTTTGTAAAAAAAAAGTATAAAAATGATTTTACTTTTTTTAAACAAACTGCAACTGCTTTTGATGACAATGAAAGTAAGCAAACAATTTCAAATATTTTGTATGTTTAAATTCAGAATCAATCAACAAATTTGATTAACAGTGACATTTTTTAACATTCGTTACTTTTCCTTTATTAAGTCTAGCAATTTCTTTATTAAGTTTTTTTTAATTACTTTAGTTTATTAATTTTTACTAGAACAGTTATTGTAAAAATAATTAAACAATACGCTTAGTTTTGTTTTTAATTTATAGATTTAAAGTTCAAAAAATATATACTATGAGCAAAAATATTTTTTTTTTTTTTTGACAAATTAAAATACAAAATGATACAAAAAAATCCATCTTAACTATCCAGCCATGTTTTGTACTGGCAAAATTTTATTTTATAAACACAATGTTACTTCAAATAATTTCTACCCATAAGTAAATATATATAAAGGGTGTATTAAAAACTTATAAAGGGCGCCTACAACAACTTTTCATACTTTTAAAAGATTACACTTTTTCAAAAAAATACTGATTTTTTATATTATAATTTTGGATTTTTATTTGCATTATTTTATGTATTATATTAAACCAACATTAAAATGTGGTTGAGATACTTGAAGTTGGGTAAAGGTAGCAAATATTAACCGCCTATCCTACCTGTGTGTTAGCCATGTTAAAGCCAATAATGACAGACAGTATTTTTATTCTGATGTAGTATTAGTAAATATATTTAAAAAAAATAATTTTAGACAGACAGTAATTTTGATCTGATCTGATCTAAGTCTCCTCATGCTCAACTCTTTAGAGTATTTGTATGAAAAAAGTATATTTAAAACTAAGCTAATAATAAAATAGAACTTGCTTTTGCATCATTTTTAACGAAGGACTTCACTTGTTAATTGTACCAAATTTGCAGTTTAGTGAAATTATTTTTTAGCAAAGAGCTTAAAAATATATATATAAAGATTATACTACTCTATACTCTTACACAACTTAACTTTATACATATTTTTTCAACATTTCTCACTAGTTAAATGGAAAAGCAGATACAAGCTTGCTTTTCTTGTGTTTCAAATAATTCAAAGCTACTTATTTGTATGCCCACTCATAACATCATTAAAAAACTCTTACTTTTAAAATTAATTAAAAATTCAAGCATTAATTTATCTTGAACGTTTTGCAGCAGTGTAAAGACCAAAAAGAGATCAAAATCATTTAGTTGATCAAAATATGATATTTTGACCAGTTATCTACTTTTAAATGTATTTATTTAAAAAAATAATAATGACAATTAATGTCGAATTTATTTTTATGGATTTATTCAACTATTTTTACACTTACTTAAAAAGCTTTTATTTTTCCAGCTTTTATTTTTCTAGTTTCATCGGTGCTATATCAAGTAGAACTCTTTAGTCTTCATTTAAAAAGATTTAACTTGTATAGTTACTATAGTAACTCTATACTATAGTAGCTCTTTAAAAACTATTTATGACATTATTGATATTGATGGAATTGCAAAATGAATTTGAACAGCCAATCTTAACAAGCACAAAAAAAATAAACTTGCAGTTTTTTCACCTAGCTTGCTACACTAACGTTTTTAATTCATACAAACAAAATTACACGATTTTTGTGAGAATTATACATTCACATAAGTTTTTCTCATTATTTGAATTTGTTCATGTTATATAGTTAAGCTAAAATTCAAAATTTTTATTGTTAGAGTGAATATAGCAGAACGTGTTTAAAAAATTTTATATGAACGCACGTGAAAAAGTCTGTTTATATTTGTAATTGGATAAAGCGTTCCTAAGCAGTACAAGTTTACGGAATATAAACACCCTGGTCCATTTTAAAAAACGGTGTAGTAGAAATACACAACCAATAATCGGTTCAACGATGAGTTGAATATTGTTATTACCGGTAACTACATCATAGCTAGTTGTATAAAAATTATATATTTAATTAACATAACAAAGGTCATTACTCGTAAATTATCTAAAAATGTAAACGAAATTCAAAAAATGATAATTTGATTAAATTAATTTTGGAAAATCAAACATCTTTATTTTGGAATAAAATAGTTTTAAAAACTTTTGATTTTGCTTTTGAATTCGTAGAAAAGTAATTCAAGAGTTATTACAACTTGTTTAAGAATAAGTTTATGGAAACTATTTGATCTCTAGATAATACATTTTAAATTGTTAAACGTTTAAGAACACACAGTATTATTTTATGTATTTATACAGTATATACTGATTTTAACCGTAAAGAATAATTCTAAGAGATATAGAGTACTCTATATCTCTTAGAATTATAATAGACGTCTATTATCATATTCAACAAAAATAAGATGATTTCTTAAAAAAATGTATTATATTATAAGTTGCTGTAGAAACATTGCGTTGCAAAGACATGAGTTTTAACTGGTTATAAAAAATGGCAAACGTTTATGTTAAATTTATGTTAAACTTATGTTAATACTGCAAAGCAAATAACTAGCAAATAAACATAATAGGGTGTTTTGCTTGAAAACATAAAACATAAGAAATTTCAAAAACAATTGTTATCTAGACAAAGGTACCAAAAAAAAAGTCAAGATATTTTAATCGTTGTTAGAAAAATAAGCAAAATATGTTTTAATTATATAAATTTTACTTAAAATAATCTTAAGAATAATTCTTTATTATTAACGAGCAAGAATACCGGTAATTTACCAATAAAATTTACATCAACATTTTGTTATGTGGGCATCAACATTTTGTGAAGCTGTGATAACACCTTTAACTAAACCTTAAGTTAGTAGTTTAATATACGTAAATAATTATAGAACAATTGCTTATTTTAAAATATTTGAAGGCATTATATTAATTAATCATCAACAGGATTTGAATCTTATTATAATGAAGATGATTTTTAATTTGATTTTAAGCAAAAGCACTCCACAATGCCTTGTGCATATTATTTAAAAAAGACAGTTAATTTTTGTATTTCTAAAGGAAGTTGTGTGTTTACATGCTTTAAAGATTTTTACAAAGCTGTTGATAACGTTAGTTATTAGAAACTGTTTTCTAAATTAATTGATCAGGGTATAGCCAATAATGTTATCTTTCCACTTGCTTTTTGGTACAAAAATCAAACTATGTGTGTCAAATAGCAGAAAGCAAACTCGGATAGCTTTAATATTAGTAATAGTGTACGGCAAGGTGGAGTTCTATCACTGTTCAGTTTTTGCAAACGAAAATTGATTTTCAATAATACGAATCTGCATATTAGATGTAACATAGGTGGCTCTTATTTTTATTTTTTGACTACGCTGATGTTATAATCCTAATTGCAATGCAGGTGTTGCCGAGAGAGAGGGGCAAAAAGAGCATACGTGCCCCGGCGCCAAGTTAATAGAGGCGCCTGAAGACAAAAAAAAATCATAAAGAGATTGAATTAAAAAAAGGTGAAAAAATTGTTTTCATTGATGAGGTAAAAAATAAATTTACTTGGTAATGTGCATAATACTTTACTTTATTAATATTGCCAAAGAAATATAGTTTAAAATAATTTTTTTTTTGGTACCAAAAAAAAAAATTAAATCATTTTTATATCGACGACATTGAAGTAGACACTAGGTGCTATCCAAACAAAACTTTTTATTTTTAAAGATAAACTTTTTCATGTTATTCGAGAAAAAAATTAATATATATCATAAACACATTTATACTTATTCTGAAAGTAAATTTAATTCCAATTTTATATCGCTAAATATTTAAAAGAAAAAACTTTATTTGCTAATGTTGATTAACTCCGTAAGGAATGTAAATGTATCAACGCAAGTTAAATGTGACGCCTACCCTCAAAAAAGGAAACAAAATCAAGATTATTATTAAATACAAGTTTTAAGTTTCAAGACATAACTAAAAATTACTATAGATAGGATTTAAAAATGCTGTGCACAATCTAACATCAAATTCTCAACATGGCTTTGTACATGACAAAAGCTACCTTACAAATCTAATTGAATCCCGTAATATTTTAATGAAAGCAGTTTACCGTGGACACCTAGTTAAAAATTTTTTTTACCAACTTTACGAAAACTTTTAAAACATTGTCACACAACGACTTTTTTATAAGATTCATGTCTATGGTACTTGAGGTCAGCTAATTAACTGGATCACAGGTTGGCTAACTAATAAAGATCCGAGTGGATTAGGCTGCTTTTTATATTCTTTAACAATGACTTACAAGACTGCATGTAAAATATTTGTATAAAATATTTTACATGCAGTAAAATATTTAATACAAATATTTTACTGCATGATAAATAATTTTACGCCGATGATAGCAAGATTATATGAGCTATTGATGTCAATCAATTTTTTTCTGATTATGAAAAACTGCAAGCGGACATCGACAGCACTGTAAATTTATCGCAAAATTCTTTTGTAAATTTCAACTTTGAAAAAGGCAAAGTAATGCAAGTTGGTTGTGGTTGGGTTGGCAATTAAATGCCTGGTTGTCTCAAGAAGACATGTTAATGTCGGAGCTTTTCAACCATAGAAAAAACTGTACCAGCTGTACAATAATCCATATTTAGATTTTTGAATTGCTTTTGTACAACAACGCGCAATATTGTTCAATAATTTTCGATTTGCTCTACAAATACATTCTTTCTTTTTTTACGCTTTTTCATCAAACTTAACATGTAATTAAAAAAAAGACTTGTTTAATAAAAACCGTGTTGCTAGCCGTTGGAAGTTTGGAGGCGCAACATTTATTTGATGTAACTACAGTAAATTCAGCAAATTTACGGTAGGTACATCAAAAAAATATTAACATCAGCAAAATGCGGAAATTGGAAACTTTCAGCAGGTAAATTGCGGAAATAAAGTGCAGAAATAGCGTTGGGGCATGAAAAAAACCACTACTTTTGTGAGAACATGCAAAAGATTGCTGCTACTTTGATTATGGGTTCGGATTGGGGTTGCG